ACCCTGTGCCAGAGCCTCAGCACCCTCACAGGGAAGAGCTTCCCCCTCATGTCCAATCCAAATTCACTTGTTAGATCCTCATTCCCTTTGCCAACATCCCTTAGCAGGACAGTTTTTGTTCCCTGGAGCTTCTCGTGGTTTATATCAAGAAAAGCAAGAAGTCCAAATGAGGATGGAGCTCTCGGATTGCCAGCCACGGAGCAGCATCACTTTGTCACCAACAGGATTGAGAAGAAGAACAAGCTCCAGCAGCATTTCATTAAAGGCTTATTATATAACCCCCCAAAAACCCAACCTGCAAACTGCAGGCTCTGCAGATTTCTTCTCTCCTCCTGCACAATTCCTTACATGGCAGGCTCACATGAGAGACATCATCATCATCACTGTGAGGGTGCTGAGGCGCTGGCACAGGGGGCCCAGAGAAGCTGTGGCTGCCCCATCCCTGGCAGTGTTCAAGGCCAGGTTGGACACAGGGGCTTGGAGCAACCTGCTCTAGTGGAAGGGGTCCCTGCCCGGGCAGGGGTTGGAGCTGGAGGAGCTTTGAGGTCCTTTCCAACCCAGACCAGGTTGGGATTCCACAATCAGTCCCCACAGATGGGACTCCCACATCCACATCCCTCCAGTTGCACCTGGGGTTATGGAGCATCCACACACTCCCCTCCAGCTCCCCAGCACCTCCTCTCGGAACACAGACACGTAAGGAACATGTACTTCATGAGGAACAATGGTCATTCCCCATGGCCAGAAGCAGGAGCTCTCCCATGAGCATCCTCACCGTCCTCTTATCCCTTTCCTTGGGAGAGGACACTCGCTCTCCAAAACCACCCTGACCACCCCAAAACCACCCCACGCAGCCCCAGTATCATCCTGACCACCCCAGAACTGCTCTGACCACCCCAAAACCACCCTGACCACCCCAAAACCACCCTACACAGCCCAATATCATCCTGACCACCCCAGAACTGCTCTGACCACCCCAAAACCACCCTGACCATCATAAAACCACCCTGTGTACCCGAATCACCCTGCACACCCCAGACCCACTCTGTCCTCTCCAGAAGCATCCTGCCCAGCCCCAATATCATCCTGCCCACCCCCGAAAACATCCTGCCTACCCCAGAACCACTCTGACCACCCCAAAACCACTCTGACCATCACAAAACCACGCTGTGCACCCCAGAACCACTCTGACCATCCCAAAACCACGCTGTCC